AGTGTTAAGAAAGAGTAGTTTTCTTACACTTTTATGAAGGAAAAAATACATAATTGTGAAGGAACAAATTATCTAGCTTTGTCAAGAAAATATTATTGTGTCCTTCTAATGAAGTATTTAAACTTTTCTTTTAAACAAGGTGAAGTTATGGTGTTAAATACTTTAATTTGAATGTTAAATTCTTACTAAAAGTCTTACTAGTCCACTTCTGTGTTTGTGTTTAATTATCTAGAGAGAGAAATGTTTACCTAAAGTGCAGTCTCACCAGTCCAGAGAATTCCTGGAGACATTGTTGGTTCATGCTCTTATGCAATAACTATATCAAGTATTCTCTGAAAATTACTGGCAGCCAACCTTTGCAATAACACACAGTTGTAAAAATAAAAATAAAATAAGAAGAAAAAAAAAACAGAGAAATCAAACGACCATCCATAACTTCCAACCTAATACAATGTAAATCTTAGGAAATCTCAGCAGGCCTTTTGTTAGATTTTGATCAGCTATTCCTAAAATGTATATGGAAATGAAAAAGATCCAGAATAGTCAAGAGGAACTAAGATCCCACAAGACGCACAATGTAGCAAAAGAAAAAAAAAAAAAAACAGAATAGTCAAGTCGTATTTGTAAAAGAAGAAATATTTGGAATACGTACACTTCTCAGCTTCTAAAGGTATTATAAAAGGGTGCAATAATCAAAACAATGCAGTGCTGCTGTAAGAATAATATTGATCAATGAAATAGAATTTAGAGTCTATGAGATACAAATACATTTTTAGAAAATTGATTTTTGTGCCAAGAAGTGCCAAGACAATTAATTGAGGAAAGACTAATTTTTTGATAAGTAGTGCAGTAATGACTGAATTTCCATTGTACAGAAAGATGAATTTAGACTCATATCTCACATTTGAGTTTAATGTCAGTGCTATTTTCAGAACCATTTCACATGTACTACACACACAAAAAAGAATTCACCTTTTTTTGTAATTAGGAACATATGCTTTAACATTTTTTTCTACTTGTTCAGTGACCAAATAGATGTTTTTATATTAATAATGAAAATATAATGCCCCTATCAATTAAATGCTTAAAGGAATTTGCTTTACATCCTTGCTGGTTGTGCTATTACTTTCTGCAACTGGGAGATGGGTTGAGCAACTTAAAATTTTTATATATAATTTATGGAGGGCATTAGAGTTTGATAAGCTGCAGATAACTCTTTAAATTCATAAACAGCTTATACACTTGCAACTTCTTTACTGCAAATGTGACTTTTTAAGCAATGGAAATTTTTTTACCCTGTTTGGTAAAATTAATGTAAATGTAAACTTTTTGTACATAAATTACAAAATTGAAATTAATGTAAATTGTTGCAATTAATGTAAATGAAAAATTTTGGTACATAATTTACAGGATATATGTATCTATTGATGGAATTGTTCTAAAATTTCCATTATCCAGTATGGCAGCCATTAGGCATACATTGCTATTGAAAACTGAAATGTGGATAATGTGACTTAAGAAAATAAACTTTTAATCTTATTGAACTGTAAGTTAAATTTAAATAGGTGCACATGGCTGTGGCTAGTGTATGAGACAACACAGAAAGAGAAGAAAACTTAGAATCATGTGTTTTTACTGATCTATAGCAATTTTCATTACGTCAGATCTCTATACTTCCCTGGCAGCTCAGATGGTAAAGACTCAGCCTGCAATGTAGGGGAGCTGGGTTTGATTCCTGGGTCAGGAAGATCCCCTAGAGAAGAAAATGGCAGCCCACTCCAGTATTCTTGCCTAGAAAAACCAAGGACAGAGGAGCCTGGCAGGCTACATACAGTCCAAGGGGTAGCAACGAGTGGGATATGCCTGAGCAACCAACAGTTTAACACTTTCTAGAAATCGGAGGCAAGTGAAGGGTTAAACAGAGCTGCAAATTTAGGGTTTTTGTTTGTTTGTTTGTTTGGGGCCACACCATGCTATTTACAGGATTTTAGTTCTAGATCAGAGGTTGAATCTGGGCTCTTGGCAGTACGAGCATAGAGTCCTAAACACAGGAAACCCAGGGAGTGCCCCAGAGCTGGCAAATTTGCACTATGTAGAGTCCAAAGTCAACTTGCACTCAAATTCAAGTTGCAGTATATCATTTTGATTTGCTATTTATTGTTTGATCTCTTAATGATTTCATCTTCAGTTTACACTAAAATATTTAAATATAGATATGAAGTGAGGTCATTTCATATATTTGAAAAGGATTTTATTCAAAAGGTAGGATTATCATGGGAATTTGTGATCAAAGTGTTAGACATGAGCAACTGGGACGCCCAAGCCAAAAAAGATTCAAATAGGTCTCTAAACCCCACCCCAGACACGCCCCATTGCAGCCCAGGAGAGCTCACAGATACACTATTAATACAAAATAACCACAGAGACTTTTCCAACTCTAGTGCACTGGCCCTAGGCATACATTCGTTCTGGCACATGGGTCTGGATACACAGCTATGTCCTCAAGTGACCTTAGGCAAGTGGAAGCCTGTTAGGGGTTCATAAATATTCTATACATACATAATTATATGTATGTTACATATATAATCTTCTTAGACAATTGAATTATGGGAAAGACATGCTCAATAGAGCCTGCTGTTACATAACTTGTACCTGTCAATCAAAACTGTCAGTCCAAGGCTGCCTAGATGAATATGCAAAAGCTCTGTCTTGAAAAACCCTGCACTACATCATTCCTGCACGACTGCCTCTCTTGGCTTGCTCCACCTCTCCCTTGAAGTGTTCTTTCTGTTCTTTCTTCAATAAACTTGTTTCTGTCATGGATAAGACCTCAGATTCTTCTTTGTGTCCTTACCAAAGCATAAGGTTGTTAGAAATTATACCACAGCTCAGTGTCTAATCTGCTATTAATTCCATTTAATTTCATCTGTCACATCACAGGTTTCACTTCTACAAGTTTAAGTCTTACTATTGTTTCATGTTTTTGATTAACTTTTTAAGAACTCTGAGACCCATTTAAAGTGTATTTTTTTATATAGAAAATTATGCACTTGCCCATAATCTAACTTTAGAACATTTTTATTTACTAAAAGAAACCCCTATTCATCCCTATTCCCCTGCCAGCCCCTAGATAACCACTAATCTATTTTGTTTCTTTATATATGGTTAATCTAGACATTTCACATAAAAAAAAATCATACAATATGTGCTCTTTTTTTTCAGCTTGGCGCTTGGCTTTCAAGTACTTTCTAGCTCGTTTAGGTGAATGCATGCATGCTAAGTCGCTTCAGTCGTATCTGACTGCGACTCTATGGACTGTAGCCCACCAGGCTCCTCTATCCATGGGATTCTCCAAGCAAGAATACTACAGAAGGTTGCCATTCCCTTCTGCAGGGAATATTCCTGACCCAGGGATCCAACACCCATCTCTTAGGTGTCCTGCATTGGCAAGTGGGTTCTTTACCTCTAGAGCCACCTGGGAAGTCCAAATACATGCTCTTTTTTGACTAGCACTTGGTATGTTTAACATTTTGAGGAATTGCTAAACTGTTTTCCAAAAGCAAATGCATCATTTTACATTCTTACTAGCAACATGAGCAGTCCACTTTTTTCACATCCTTCCCTCTTGCTATCTTTTTGAACATAACCTTTAATACCCTTGCTTCTAAGAGCTAGTTCTATTCTGATCAGTGATTGATTTTCCTCCTAAATATGGGTTTTCTTTTCCTGATTTTTTACAAGCTTGGTAGTTTTTGATGCCAGGCATTGTTAACTACACCTTATTGGTTGCTGGACATTTTCGTATTCCTATAAATAATATTGAACTTTGGTCTGTTATATACTTAAATGATTTGTTATCCATTTGATCCACTTGGGATATGCTTTTAAGATTTGTTAGGTGGCACTAGACAAGTGAAGGCTTCCCCAGCGGCTCAGTAGTAAAGAATCAGCCTGCCAATGCAGGAGACAAAAGAGAGGGCAGTTCGATCCATGTGTAGGTAAGATCCCCTAGAGGAAACAGCAATCCATTCCAGTATTCTTACCGGGGAAATCCCGTGTACAGAGGAGCTTGGCCGGCTACAGTCCATAGGATCCCAAAGAGCGGGAAACAACTGTGAACACATGCACTAGAGGAGTGAGGTGTCTAGGGCGAATGCTCTACTATTAAAGCAAAACCTGTCTGTGTACTCTAATAACAATGCCCCATGGATTAGGAAGTTTCCCAGCCAGATCAGTGAAACGAATTACTATTTCTGTGTCTAACTGAATCCTTAAATCCCCTTCCGGGTAGTTTCCTCAGACAAAAAATGCTCAAAATTCAGTAGAATCGTGGAGAAAATTCTGCAGAACTCCAAGTTCTCTGAACAACTCTCGCCTTTCTGTTATACTCTGAAAAGAACATTACCTGCCCTAGTCTCCCCCAAAATCGCAGCTCCTTCCTGTCAACGCAGGCAATTCGCTGGGCTCTGCTTAAGTTTTCTCTCCCTGCACTGCAGTCTGGAAAACCTCGTAAATACAGCAAGCTTTTTGAACTGATAACGTTTGTTTTCTCAGTCTTCAGGGTCACTGTTACTCGTTACTGAAGCCAACTGTCTTGGAAAAAGACCCAGCGTTATCCTTCAACAGCAGTAGAATTTTTTTTTCTTTTTCAATAAAGGAAATGTTGAAAGGTACCCCTAAAAGCCATACAGAGAAAAGTTTTCCTCTGCCGCTTAGTCAAAACTGGGCCGCGCGCCACGGAACGAACTCAAGCCACACCTCCCCCACCTCAGCTCGGCCTACGGGTTACTGCGCAGGCGTCGAACTGCGCGCTCAGCAACAACTGCGCCTGAGCCAAACAACCGGCCCGCCAAAGCGTCAATCTGCGCCCGCCAATGAAAGCGCTTAATGGTCCTTGAACCCCGCCCACTGACCGGACATCCAATCGCCTGTTCCGGCGCGCAGCCTGAGGTGGATCCAAAGTAGTCCCAGGGTAGAGCTGGAGCGTAGGCCGGGGCAAGATGGGGGCTGCGGAGTCTGAAGTGGAGGCTGCAGCCCGAGAGTAAGTGTTTCCCGCCCGGTGGGTAGCGCGGCGGAGGCAGCTGGGGGCGGGCTGGGACTGTCTTTGCGCACCCCCGAGTAAAATCAGTAATGTCCCTCAACCCATTATAGCGGTTGGGGCTCGGCTCTGCCGTGAAGTGATCGTGACCCCAGACTCCCTGTCTTAGGTTGGCTTTCCAGGAGTAAGGCATATGAGAGGCTGTTTGTTCCCCACTACGAACGCACACTGCCCAGAGACGTGTACGTAAAGGGCACTTGCATCCCTTTCAAGCCCCCACATCTCTTCGCAGGTTGACCATCCTAACAGGAAACTTTCCACCCCAGGCACCCTGGGAAGGCCGTTTAATTTCTGCCACCCTTGCCCCAACATACACTGTTCCTGTGAGTTATTATTTTACTTCGGTTACCGCTTCCTAATGGACTGCTCCAGCCCCTAACAAGGAAGAACTCTGGAGAGCCTAGACCCAGGGATCCAGCCCTCAGTCCTTAGCTCCTCCTCCAGTATTCTGAGACCTTTCTCTAAGGCTGTCTCTGCTCGGGGCGCTGTCCCATCCCCTGTATATTTCTTTGATTTCAGAAACTCAAATGTCTGTTTTCTTGCTTTACGCTGACTTTCTCTAGCTTCAATGAGTGGGTCTCCTGTCTAGCTGCGGTGCCGGGCTTCTCATTGCAGTGGCTTCTCCTTGCAGAGCACTGGCTCTAGAGCGAGGGCTTCAGGAGATGTGGTGCCCGGGCTTAGTTGCTCCGTGGCATGCGGAATCTTACTGGACCAGGGATGGACTCTATAACACCTGCGTTGGCAGGCGGATTCTTTACTACTGAAGCACTAGGGAAGTCCCCTCAAAAGGTTTCTATTCGGTGAAACAGGCCCTATTTAAAATCACAGCTCTTTTTCCACGCTTATTATTCCCCTTGCTTTGCTTATTTTTCCTCACTTATTATTTCACTTATTACTTCCATGTGTCTTCAATGCACACACCATTCCTGGTCTCAGGTGGCCCTTCCAGCCTGTGTGTAGCTGTTAGTCAGGACAAGACTCAGCATTAATACACATAATCACATATGTGCAGTGTGCACACAAATTCAGTAGAACTAGCACCTCAGGAGTCTGCAGTTTTTCCTGTTTTCTCACCCCTTCAGGGCCCTGGCCAAGGTAGCAGGCATCTTGGAGCCTGTAGGTCTTCAGGAGGAGGCTGAACTGCCTGCCCAGATCCTGGCTGAATTTGTGATGGTATGTACAAGATGGGAGCTAGCCTTTCACCCGCCAGGGGCTGCTCCTGGATCCTCTTGTTGAGATACTGGGCAGCGTTAATGGTGAGCAGACTGGAAGGTAACCTTGTTGGCCTGTAGTACAAGAAGGTAAGAATGTTCCCTGCCGATACCCTCCTTCTGAATAGGACTCTCGGAAGAAAGACAAGCTTCTCTGCAGCCAGCTTCAAGTAGTAGACTTTCTGCAGAATTTCTTGGTTCAGGAAGGCACTGCCCAGGACCAGAACCCCTTGGTTTCTGAAGACACAAGCCGTGAGTGGACTCAGGGTTCGGCTAGGGGCTTCCCTGAGTGAAGAAGTAAGGGGGACATCAGTCAGGTCAGCTTTTTGGCTGATGTGATGACTGAAGCCCCAGTGCTGCAGGCAAGTGGGCCTACCTCACTTATATACTTATTTTTGGTGGCTTTCCTCAGGACAGAAGGCAATTGAAGCCAAAGAGCAATGGAAAGAGCTGAAGGCCACCTATCAAGAGCATGTGGAAGTCATCACAAATTCCCTGACCCAGGCACTGCCCAAGGTGGAGGAGGCCCAAACAAAGCAGGCACAGCTCCAGGAAGCCCTTAAACAGCTCCAGACCAAGGTGAACCAATGATGAGGGGAGAGAAGGGCAAGCAGAGAGGAAGAGGAAAAGGGTGAATATACTAGGTTGGATCTACTGGTTATCTTTTAAATTTCAACCATAAGACTGAGGTAATCTTCTTTTATATATACGTACCACATCTTCTTTATCCATTCCTCAGTATTATTAAGCCTTTAAAATAATATAATGCCATTTGCAGTAACATGGATAGACTTGGAGATTATCATACTTAAGTAAGTCAGACAAAGGCAAATATATGATAACATTTATATGTGGAATCTAAAAAAAGATACAGATGAACTTACTGTAAAACAGAAATAAACTCATAGACTTAGAGAAAGAACTTAGGGTTACCAGAGAGGAAGAGGGCTGGGGATAGATTGGGAATTTGACATGCACACACTGCTATATTTAAAATAGATAACCAACAAGGACCTGCTATAAGAAAAAATTAATTAAAAAAAAATGAAATGCAGCAATAAAAATGCACTCCTCCTCTCCTCATTCCCTTCCTTCACTTACCTGCAGAAGCAAATGGCCATGGAAAAACTCAGAATAGCCCAGAAGCAGTGGCAGCTGCAACAGGTAGGTCCATTTCCCTAGGAAAATATCTCTTCCCACCACCATGCTATTGCATGGGCCAAGTCCTCTGCCTAGAAAATTTTCATCACATTTCCTCCTGTGTGGCATTGTATTATGGGACCCACATGCACTTTAATCCTAGCATCACCACTTACCACTGCATGATCTTGAACTGTCACCTTTCTTTCTCTGCTTCTGTATGTTCATGTGTGAAATGAAGAAAATAATAGCATCTACCCTATAGAGTTGTTAGGATGATTGAGTAATTGTTACAGCAAGTGTTTAAAATAGTGCCTGGCACATAGAAAACTAAGTAAGTCTTATCATTCTTTGCACCCCTTCCCTCCAGAATGCCTCACCTTGGAACAACTCACTCTGATCCTTTTTTCTAAGCTCCTGGTCCTGCCTAAAATGAGTGGAATCCCTCTATTCATCTGTGTATCTGAAACCCCAGCTAGGTCTAAGCTGGAGGGTTGGGAAAATGGCTCCAAGACCTCAGGATCTGAGGAACCATATCTACATTCTCACTCCTGGTAGGAGAAGCATTTGCAGAATCTGGCGGAGGCTTTGTCAGAAGTGAGGGAGCGTCAGACAGGAACTCAACAGGAACTTCAACAACTATATCAGGAACTTGGAACTCTAAAGCAACAGGCAGGGCAGGCGCAGGACAAGCTGCAGAGGTGAGGCTGGGAGCATGGGCTGCAGACCCAGGGTTGTCCAGCAGAAGTTCCCTCTCTTCATACCCACATCCTCCTTCTAGGCACCAGACCTTCCTCCAGCTGCTATATACCCTGCAGGGTAAGCAGCTATTGAATGAGGCAGAGGCAGAGGCAGAGATACCACAGGAGCTGGATCTTCCTAAGGATAAGCCCCAGCAGGTGACCCAGTCCCAAGAACAGAACACTCAGGACACCATGGGAAGAGAAGGTGGGTGTGTCCTCCAATGTGAGTGAGAGATGGAATAGTTGGGCAGGGAGACAGAGAAAAAACGTGAAAGATAGACCTTACTCACTGCCCATAGCATACCTTGTTTTCCCAAGGCTGACAACCCACAGCCTGTTGGAGATGCAGGCTTACCATGGCTTCCTGGCAGACAGCAACATACAGAAGAATCCTAGAGCAGGTCAGACTCCAACTCAGGCCGTGATTTCCCCTGACTACAGTAGGGCAGGAGGGAGGGTCTCTGGTCAATCTATCTCTGTTTCTGAGCTCCACTATTCATGGAAAGGATGGGATGTAGGAAGGAACAAAGAGTTTATTTTATGGTTGAAGTTTAGTACTTTATCCCCATGCCCAGCCTACTTTAGACTAGTCTGGCTCTTCCTCTTCCCCAGCCCTCTCACCTCACCTTCATTGCAGGATGGACTTAAATTCTTTGAGTGCAGTTTGATTTTTGACTACATACCTGGTCAGGGCAGGCTCTGGATTCTGTTTATTAAAAATCCTGGAGCTCTCTCAGCTGCCTGTTTGTCGCTTATCTTCACATGTTGGTGGGAAGAGTCACACTCAAAGGCCAACAACATAATAGATGCTTGGACAGGTGTGAATGGAGAGAATATAGATCGGGAAGGGGCCCTGGCGTGGGGCATCAGAGGTTGCTTACCCAAAAGGATATGCCACTAATATGCTGAGCTTAATTCAGGGAGAAGGCAAATGCCTTATGCAGGTGATTAGATGTGGGAAGCTAACTTTAATTACTGATCCTAATGTTTACTGAGTCTCTGATTTGTTCCAGGCCCTAATTTGAAATGAACTGGAGCTGAAGAAATGGATTTAACTGACCAATCACTGGCCACTTAGAGCATAATGAGTATGAACAAGTGATGAAAAGGTCAATAGGATGATTTCAGGGTTTGTTACAACAGAGTAGCAAAAGAGCAATAGTGAAAAAGTACAGAGCCGCCCCCCCCTCCCCCCACCTTCTCACTATATTGGCCTGTGATGTGTGAGTTAGTATTTCTATTTGTGCTGGTATGTTTATGTTTCTATATTTTTGTTTGTTTGTTTCATTCTCCAATCCTCTATGTGTCTGTCACTGAATGTATGAACAGTGGGGTCACTACTGTGTTTGAGGAAGTGATTACATCCCTGATTTTCTAAATCTGCAGCCTATTCTAATATGTCCTAATGATATATTCCTGATACATTTTTTGTGTTCTACTGTTTTTTTTTTTCCTTGACCCATCCTTTCGGATTGTCATTCATCTTCAAATGTTCGAATACTGAAAGACTGGCTATTGTGATTCTCTGTTGTATGTTTTGTTCTGGTTCATTGATTTGTAGTATTATCTTGATCATTTTCTGGTTTCTGTTTTTAGGTGAAGAATATATTTTGATTTTTTTTTTTTTTGTAAACTTTTTAGCAGGTAAAAAACTTGTGTATTTGGATCTTTATTTGTTTTCTCAAATAAACATTTAAAGTTATCATTTTCTTCTGGCTTTCTTATTAGTATTTTCACAATCATTCAATTCATAGAACTTTCTATTAAAATTATTTCTTTGATTCGTGAGTTTCTTAGAAAAATAATTTTCAAATTTTTTACTCTATGTGAGAGGATATTATTTCTAGGTTTATTCTAATTTGGTCAGAAAATGTCAAATCTATAATAAAAACTTTCAAATTTAGTGAAGGAAGCAGTTGTGGCCTTGAATGTGATTTCTTTAATGTTTCATGTTGATTTTTCAAAAGAATGTCTGTTTTATAACAGTCATGTGTGATGTTTTCTGTATGTTTATTAGATTATGCTTCTTAGGTTTTTTCAGTTTGTGTCTTCTATATACTTAATTTTTTATTTTCCAAATATCATCTTCTGAGAGAGGTATGTTCAGATTTCCAAACGATAGTGGATTTGTTCATTTCTCTTATAAACATCTGGATAATTTCAACAAAGCTAATCCCTATCATTCTATCTTTATAATTTTAAATTCATAAAACTCAGTTCAGTTCAGTCACTCAGTCGTGTCCCATTCTTTGCCACCCCATGAACTGCAGCACACCAGGCCTCCCTGTCCATCACCAACTCCCAGAGTCCACCTAAACCCATGTCCATCGAGTTGGTGATGCCATCCAACCATCTCATCCTCCGTTGTCCCTTTCTCCTCCTGCCCTCAGTCTTTCCCAGCATCAGGGTCTTTTCCAGTGAGTTAGCTCTTCGCATCAGGTGGCCAAAGTATTGGAGTTTCCGCTTCAACATCAGTCCTTCCAGTGAACACCCAGGACTGATCTCCTTTAGGATGGACTAGTTGGATCTCCTTGCAATCCAAGGGACTTTCAAGAGTCTTCTCCAACACCACAGTTCAACAGTATCAATTCTTTGGTGCTCAGCTTTCTTTATAGTCCAACTCTCACATCCATACATGAACACTGGAAAAACCATAGCCTTAACTAGATGGACGTTTGTTGGCAAAGTAATGTCTCTGCTTTTTAATATGCTGTCTAGGTTGGTCATAACTTTCCTTCCAAGGAGTAAGCGACTTTTAATTTCATGGCTGCAACCACCATCTGCAGTGATTTTGGAGCCCAGAAAAATAAAGTCAGGCACTGTTTCCACTGTTTCCCCATCTATCTGCCATGAAGTGATGGTACCGGATGCCATGACCTTAGTTTTCTGAATGTTGAGTTTTAAATCAACTTTTTCACTCTCCTCTTTCACTTTCATCTAAATTCGCTTCAAATGTTCTACCCTATTGTGAAAAGAAAACTATCTACCCATTTTAGAATCTTTCTGTCCTTAATAAGCCCCATCCTGTCTTAGAAAATTATGCAACTTCTTGCATTGCAATTTTTATGTCTCCTCTTTGGGCCAAATATGTGTAAGTTTTGAAATACAAGCGATCTGAAATTAAGTCAACTAGTTTCATTATTACTGCTAGCACAGTATTTAAATGAACTTTTTGGTACTTTTCGGAAAGACTGAGAAATTTAGTGAGTTTTGATACACTTTGCTTTTGAAAGCCCGAATAACCTAGGCATTAAGTCTGAAAGTTAGAGTCTCAAGAATCAATATCTTGAGGTCTTTTTAAATTGTCTTTTTTTGGGGACAAGGGTGTAAATTCTTGTTGTTAAATTGAATTTGAGTAACTGTTGACATAGTTATAAAAAAACTTGTTAATCTTCATGGAGCTCTCCAGTGTACAAAAATTAGATTTCAGATGCCATATTCAAATGAATATCTAAAATTTAAGTTGTCAAGTGAACTTTAGCAAACACACCTATGCAAGGTATGCATAATTCATTTCATCATGCATATTATAATGATTATACCTACATGATAATTTAAATGTGTTGATTACTTTGTACCTAAAATTGTGTTTTGAGATAGAAAAATGAAGAAAATATAGAAATGTACTTTCAGAAGATAACAGAACATTTAGAAATAAAAGATTATCACAAATAAACATAAGCACTAAATATATATATATATATGATCTAATGCACACATTTTTAATGTATTGTAAAAAGTCATAGGAAAAACACACAAGAGTTGGAATACTCAAAATAGGGTTTATTTTATGAAAGAATGAAAGTTTGTTTGAAATATCTTGTAGAATCTCCATGTTATGAAGTTACATTGTAAAAACTGGGTCTACTCTTAATAACCAATCATAAACAGCAATCTTATTGCTTAGACAAGAAGTTATGCTTTACATGAGTATTTTAGGGAAAATACTTCTCTTTAGGGGCAGGAGCCTATCCACAGTCTCCATGTATGTAAGCCTTGGATTAACCTGGCCAGATGTTCTAGAAATAGAAGAGGAGTTTGAAATAATGTATTTACTGAAGTCCAGCATTATGGTGGTTTCATTTGGTTACTACAATGATAATACAGTCTCGGGCAAGATACACTGGTTTCTTGTTTGAACACTACTCTTGGTGATAACTGAAATGCCTAACTGTTCCAGTGTGTCATTTTCAACATGAGAGAGATGGGGGAAAGAAAAGAAATGGGAAATTTGGTTGAGGATTTTAGTCATGAGATATATAACATATAACATTAGTGTGGGTGTGTGTGTACTTACATACACATATAACGCTGGCAGGGGTAATGTAGATTAGCTAGAGGACGTGAGTGACTGGATGATGAATATTTGACCTCTGTTTTCAGATCTTGTCATTAACCATTTGTTCTTTGTAATTTCTGTCTATAGGAACATGTATTCTTTGTATCCACAAATAAACATATATCAGTACCTCACATTTTAAAAGTACTTAGTAAATGTTCATTCGATCATCTTCAGGGAAGATTTTCTGAAGAGCTGCCTTTGAGTTCAATTTCAAATAAATTATCCAGAAGTAGATTTTGTCATTTATTGAATGTCAACTGTTTGCTTAATGTAAATTCTGAGAATTTAAAGAAAGAAAGATGATAAAGAATCTGAGTTTAAAGACAGGAAGGAAAAGTCTAATTCTGACCAAAAAAATTACGTTTGTCATTGTTAAGGACTAAGAATTAAAATATTTTGAGAGCACCAAGAATTGAAATATTTTGACAACACTAAGCAGAAAGTGAAGTCGCTCAGTCGTGTCTGACTCTTTGAGACACAGTGGACTGTAGCCTGCCAGGCTCCTCTGTCCATGGGATTTTCCAGGCAAGAATACTGGAGTGGGTTGCCATTTCCTCCTCCAGGGAATCTTCCCAACCCAGGGATTGAACCTGTGCCTCTTATGTCTCCTGCGTTGTCAGGCAGGTTCTTTATGACTACTGCCACCTAGGAAGCCCTACACATGTCTGACCATTGCTAATTTTTGGGACTTGCTATAATAACAGCAACTAAAGAGCTGAGATCCACTTAACCAATTAGATGATTAAAGCAACATTGGAGTGGCAGCAGAATGGAACCTCTATTTTCAAGTGTTGCTACTTAAATATAATACAACAATCGTAATTATTAGTTACTGTATATTATACCCACTAAAATAATCACTAAAGCAGTTCAGTGATACTGGTATTCCTGGATGATGACAGCAATCCAAACAAATACATACCAACTAGAAACTAATGAACTACCTATCCCAGAGATCAGTGCTTTTTGGTATATTAGTCACTGAAGGTTGGAAAACATTTTCAGCAATGAAACATCACTTCCTGTGCCTGAGTCATATTCTACATATCAAGAT